CTTTGATCACCAAAATTGTTTTGTTTCCCTAAATTCTGGTAAAGGAAGATTATGAGGAGCAGTGTTATTCAGATGTAATAAATTGAAAGGAATTGGACCCTAAAAGTAGTGTTATGAAAACAGGTGAATGAACCAGCTTTTCTATCCTACATATTGACTTGGTTGTAGGTGTCCCATGTAAGTCTTGCTATTTAAGAGGAAGCATATACAAATATTAGGAACTCTTACCTCAGGCTTTAAAGGGCAGGGAGTTAAGTAATCAATCTTTTAGGAGATTGGTAAAATGTCGCCTAAACTTGAAATACTTTTAAAGATTAATGTTCTCAACTATTTAAAATATTTCTCTTACCTTCTCAAATGTATTCCTAGAAATTTTGCCTGTAAACAAAGCATTTCTAGGCCAAGGAATACTTTCAGTATAGCAAGGCTTCACATTATATTGAGGGCTGCAGGTTCCATCACTTAAAAGGATAGAAACAAAAAATAATGGTATATAAAATATTACAATCTACCACCTCAAAAAAACATTGTTTATGGAGTTCTGAGCTTGGAGATTCAAGTATTGATTGTAATTTTTATTTTGAAAAGAATGCTACAACTTATGTGGTTTTTTCTCATGTTTATATTAAAAGAAAAGCTAATAAACCCTATTTTAATTAAAACATGGCTAGTATGTTTGTAACACTTCTCCCTGTTCACATAGCATTATGTCTCTGCCTAACCTACATGTTTCCCATCAGCTTTGATAGTGAGGCCTTAAAGCATTTTTAAACAGACCATAGATGGTTCGACCCTTGCCTCTAAGATGTAGTCATTTATTTGTCTTTTGCTCTTTTCAACCTAAAGATAATTTATTACACTTAACATCACTGGCATGGTGCATTAGATGACATCTGTGAATAATTCATTATTGTGTTAATACTTGGAAGGTAAAACGAGGTAAACACCCCAGAGAGAAAGGAATTACAGGATGGTTTCCTATCAGCAATTTCCTACGGTTCATCCTAAAACAACTTAAGGCCCAATGTTTCTTTTTAAAGAGAAATTTCTTCTATGCTGGACCAGATTCCAGATTATTTACTCTTATTATATCCCATATGCCCAGACATTATTGAAGCCCAGCAGCACTGAATCCTGGTTTTATGACAGCTCATGGTTCATTTCTTGGTTGAGTTTTCCTATGTCTATAAATACACTATTCCTTGATTTAAAAAAATAAAATAAAATGCTGAAGCCAGTATTTACCAGAAAAGAAATCACTCTGTATTCGGGTAATGCAGTGATTTTGGAAGTGTTTAGCTATGGCATGTAAGTTAGCTAAAATCTTTCATCACCCAAGACTTCTCCCTGACCACAGCTAAAATGACTAGCCTGTTCCCTCTCCCAGAAGCTGCATTCTCCAGTACAGAGCTACTTGGAAAAGCACTTGACAGTCGGTAGAGAAATCTCCAGGTAAGTGTTCATTTCATTGCAGAATCTGCAGATTATACTAGCGTCTATCAACAAGCTAAGGATTAGATTACCTACAGTCTTCACTTAGCCCACTCACTGACCTGATCAGCCTGATACCATGCCAGCAAGCAACACAAAGCATGTTGGAGCCCTTCAGCAAAGCCTGTTCCCCCAGAGCAGAGGCGCAGTCTGCTTGGTTTCTGAGGCTGTTCACTATTTTAAATGGGGCTGTCAGATGAGAGGCCATGTCATGTGAAATAAATTCTAAGAAAACCAGTTTGTGGTTTAGGATCTCTAGGGTGCAGAAGGAACTAGGAAAGTGAAATAGTTTAGAAATTAAGAGGAATCCAGAATCAAATAAAAAAAGGTTAATATTTTTAAAAGGAACAAGTTTGGTGATTATTGTAACTTGTAAAGGGAGCTAAGTAATTTGGTTAGAGAAATTCTGTGATAGCATCAGAAGTTACCAATAGTATTTTATTTCAAGACCTCAAATGATTCTGCTAGCATTTTCTTGAAACATTACTTTATCTCCCCTTCTCACTTCTACTAATCTTTACTTTTAGGCCCCAAACGGTGGCCCCTTTACCGCCTCACTGGAACAGACTCCCAAAGGCAGAGCTTCCATGTTCTGTCCCCTCCCACTGCAGGTGAGGGCTCGCCCTCAACCAGATCCTCTCAGCCTTTATTCTCTGACCTGCTAATGTCCACTGGGCAGCACTTGATGTTGGTTACTACTGTGACCCTTTTCCAAAGCCTTATCACCAGGGTCCAGCAAATACAAGTTTCATATGGCTCACAGGTTATCTTGCCCCTTGTAATCCTCTTTAATCCCCTATTTGAGTCTTCCTGTGTCCCCCAAAGCAGCAGTTCCCAATTTACTGCACTTGCTGACTCCCCTGAGCTGCCCACAACCCTAGATGTATCTCCTCAGTCTAGGCAACATCCTCACATTCCAAATTCCAAAACTCATTTCCTGTGGCATTAGGAATAGAAGTCTCGCTTCTTGAAGTGACCCCCTCATCTAACCGAAGGGATTCCATCCCAGTTCTAAAATCAACACCTATATCCACACCCTGCACCAACTTATCTTCTGCCTCAAAACTGCATTCAGCCCGGCTGCTGCGGTTCAGTGGTTGAGCATTGACCTGTGAACCAGGAGGTCACAGTTTGATTCCTGACCAGGGCACATGCCCGGGTTGCAGGCTCGATCCCCAGTAGGGGGCATGCAGGAAGTAGCCGATAAATGATTCTCATCATTGATGTTTCTATCTCTCCCTCTCCCTTCCTCTCTGAAATAAAAAACACTGCATTCATCTCCCCAATGTTGGGATAGGGCAATTTGACTTTGCTTAGTCCTTTACATCTAGCGTTTCTCAAGATGTCCCCAGACCACCTCTCATCAACTGCAAGTGCCTGTGAAAGTTTCTCTAAATGGAATGTAGAATTCCTGGATTGGATCCTGAATCTGATTAAGAATAGTGGTGGAAATTCTGGTGACATCCAAATGAAGTCTGGAGAGTAATGAACCAATGTTGACTTGTTAGTTTACACAAATGTACTATACTATGTTAGCATTAGGGGGAAACAGTATATAGGAACTCTGAACCATCTTTGCAACTATTTTGTAAACCTAAAGAAAATCAGCAAGCAGCAGTTTCTTGGGCCCCAGATCCACCAAATCTCAATTCCTAAAGCTGAAGCCTAGGAATCTAAATTTTCAGTAGTCCCAAATGATTCTTACACAGACTCAAATTTGGAAATCTAGTGTTTCAATTGCCTTTCCATTCCTTGCCTGAGCAGTGTCTTCTACCTTGCTTTACCTTGACCTTGCCTTACCTGATTTAATCCTTTAGATCCTCTAAATCCCAAGATATGAGTATATTATTACCCTCCCGCAGATGAGAAAACTGAAGTACTAACAGGTTAAAATGTCCAGGATCACACAGCCCTTAAATGGTGGGACTGGGATTAGATTCCCTAGTCAGTCTAGTTCCCAAGTTTATGCACATAAACACGCTGCTGCCTCTCAATCATGTTTCCACTCAGGACAAACAGAAAAGCTCTGTAATTAAATCACTAAAGGAAGCATTATTACCAGTAATGCACTGGGCCCACCTATTTCTCCAGCGTCTAAGTCCCAACAGTCCCTTTGCTCCAGCTTGTGACTGCCCTTTCCTCCCTTTCCATCGGAGGAGGAGGGGAATGAGCAATGAGAAAGCACTGGGAAGAGGTGCCAACTGGAGAGTCCTGTACAAGCAGGTACAGATGCTCTTCCGTTAGGATCCAGCTCAACACTGTATCCTCTTCTCCCAACTGCCCTAACTCACGAACGAACCAATCTGATCATGTTCCCAGCACTCACTCTGACTTTGAGTTATATATACTCATATTGGACTTACCTCCCCTAAACATTATAAGCTCCTAATTACCTATCTTCTCCCATACTTACGCCTCAGTGCACTGCTGGAGAACAGACATACCAGGCATTCACATGAGGTAGATTGGTAGCTAATCTGTACCTTGCCAAAATAGCAAGTAAGAAAATCTGACAACAGTATCTCAGGTTTACAAAGCATCTGCCCAGATTATCAGGAAGGTGCCAACTCTAAACTCTTATCTGGATTTCCTGACTTGTATTTATGGCTTAATATCAAGTTGTGATTCTAACTGGTGAATGATGGAATAGTTTGGGGAGTTCCTGCTCCCCAACCAGACTCATAGAACAGCACAAACATCTACTCAGATAGGTTTTGGTATAGAGCAGCAATTTTCAACTGGTGAACCATAAGAATTGTTAAAGCATTTAATACCTGACTATGTAATAAGGGACACTGACCTCTTTTCTCTTAGACTGTCAGATAAAAAAATGACAACAGCCAATTCAATTGCTGTCTGGTGTCAATACCCTCTCTGGAACCATAAATATATAGGTCATATAATAGAGTTGCAACTTATTGGTCAAATTGAATAATAAGGTTGCATTTGATTGGTTAATTCTTGGTACCAAAAATTCTTATATACAAGGATAGGCATCTGATTTTTTTAAAAGTCAACTTTGGAGCAAAAAGGGTAGATAATTATTATTATTATTATGTTTGGTAAATTAATCAAGGTTATATCTATTTTTTGTCAGATTGGCAAAATACATATTTTTGGTATGCCAAAAATTTGAGTAATTTATGTGTGCCATGAGATAAAAAATCGCTGGTATACAGTATAGATGGAGGGTTGATAGAACAGTCTCAGGCAATGTCTGCTCTTCCATGTATTTCCCTTCATTTCTTCAAGTGAGTTATGAAATAATAACAGGATCAGCAGGAGAAACCCATGAAATATATTCAAGTAAAACAAGTTTCCATTAGTTCTGTTTCTGGTGATTGGAATTTGCTTGATTTTCTTATTAATAAAAACATTACCATTTATATTTTAAGTATATCTAAGAAATCTGATTATGAAGTTGGAATACATGTATCTCCTCAGATATTCTTAGAAAGCAGTGTGTCTCCATAGAAGCATGAGGAGAAAAAGACTTGTACAGCATCTCATTTTCTTTACCATTGCTTTAATGCACTTTAAAATTTATCTACATTAGTTGGGAACAAAGAAACAAAAATAGACATTTCTTTGTTTTTCATAAATAACTACTCTCCATATTTGATAAAAATCTCAAAGCATTATTTTACCTTCCCACAAATATAATACACACAAAATTTTTCTGAAATAATAAGGTCAGCAAATTATCATGAGACTAACATAACCACATACACAGCTGTTCTATTGACTTCCAGGATCAAAACAAAACAAAACAAGAACTCAAGATGCTCTGGGTTTCCATTTGTTAATGCTATGGTCTCAATTATAATTATCTGCCAGTAATAACTTATAGATTCAAGTTGATTGTCTACAAACAAAATATCGCTGGCTCTGATTCATGAGTTCTGGAGATGTCTTTGTGAAGCTACTGCATGGGGTAGGCACTATACATATATGGAAATCATAGAAAGTATTAAATGCCCTTTAAATGCCCTGGACTCGAACTACTGACTTGGTATGTGCCTCATTTGGCTCAGTAATTAATTCACCTGCACCAAACCCGTATCAAAAGTCACTAAATCTCTCATATATATATATATATATACACATATATATATATATATGTAATATATATTATGTATATACACACCCATATCACATACATACTATACATACAGTTTATAACAACATGAAGCAATATTGTCATAAAATGATGTACCCCAGGCATTACCCTGGCTGAAATCAATCCTGTAATTGTCATCAAGCTGCTAGAAGGTTTTCGAGTTCTGAGTCAGGTTACTTAGCGACTTGCCTACCCCTCACCCTGCTTTAATGTCTTCGTAGCTTTTTCTTTCAGAACCACCCTCCCCAACTCAGGCATTTCTTTCCCAAGATCACTTGATTAGACTTTGGAGGCAAGAAAGGACATGCAGAGGGAGCAGGCAAATCTCAGCTACACTACCTCACACCTGCCTAGATTTGTGATGTGCTCTGTCCTGTTTGCCACATTCGGTGTTAGAAAGCAGTTATTCAAAGCTTTGTCCCTTCTACCCCCCTTGGTTTTTCTGTAGAGCACAAAAGTGAAAGAAGCCTCTTTAGCAGGGGTAGCAGTTCATTAAAATATACAACTACATTTCCTAGCTCTGGGGGTCCCATTCTGTTCTTGACAGTGCAGGTCACGGATGCTGTTATTAAGGTTCGGTGTGGGATCCATGAGGCTTGCTCCTGGCGGCCGGTGTCAGGATTAGTGCAGCCCTGGCCCAGGAGGAAACAGCCTAATGAATACCAGTTTGGAAACAGTGCCGTCGGCACATTATTTAAGCTTGTACATGCGCACAATTACACACAACACACTTGCACAGGCCCGTCATTAGAAGTGGTCAGGTGAAAATATGACAAAAGGTTTGCAAGGATAAACCAATAAGGCACCAAGAAAAATTATTTGTTGATTTAGACAACTTCAAAATGTGAGGAGGGAAAGAATATAAATTAAGGTCATGACAACTGATTCACTGAGAGGTCACATAAGTTCCTCTGGACAACCTTCTAAATCTTCACCCCCCTAACCTAGAAGTATGACATTGCTTAAAACTGAACTGTAAAAAGGAACAGCCCCAAGGCTGCACATATGCGGCCAAAAGAAGTCCCCAGTCCTCTCCAATTTCACAAAGCTGGCTGGGAAGAAATTGCTAAACCACCCCACGACCTTTCATTTTATCACTGTTCTCATGAGTATGAATTGTTTGCATAATAAAAATGCAAATGGGGGAGGGGGGATAATGTTCCGGTTGGAAATAGGGAATGACCATAAATAGCTCGGCTGCTCTCCCCTGGGTAGGGGTTGGGGTGGTAGATACTAGTGAGATTTCAGGGAAGCAGGTGGGCTTTCTCCTGGAGGGAAAGGAGGAGAGCGAGGCTGAAAACAGACTGAAAACCAAAAGGCAGCTCTGAAAGTAGACCCCAGAAAGCATTACCTGTATTGCCTTTCCTGGGCCTAGTATGCTTTGTGTTAACTGTCTTATTTTTTAAAGTAAATTGGTGGTTCTTTTTAAGTTGGGCATGTTGCCAAAATGAAAGAAATTTTTCAATGAAGAATTAAATTACTTTCATCCACTCATCCCACAACTTTTAGATACACGGTGCATCATATCTAGATTCCTCCACAAAGAAAAGGGCAGGGGGGACAATCCAAATTAGGCACAGTGACTGAAGACAACAGAACCATCTGCCCTTTCTGGGAAAATATACTAAGTGTGGGAAGAGGTCAAGGTGCTCAGAAAAGGTCCTCATTTGAAAAACAGGAGAAGAATGGGCTCTCGGGAATTATCTCAAGGTTCTGAGACATGTGAATAAGCAGAGGAATAAGATGTGCAAAAAGTTCTCTAAGCTGTGTGTACTAGGTTTTGTCAAATCCACTGAGAACTGATTCAATTTTGAGTATGTAAGAGCAGTGCATTTTTATAACTGAACAGCTTTTGAGAGTCCTTAAAACCATAATACCAGGCTCCCCACACCCCCAGCAAAGTGTTTAAATTCACTATGGGAACTATTCATTTGTTTACTTAATATCCATGAAGTAGAAACTAAACTGAGCTTCGATCTTACTTTTCCAACTTTGGTATAAATGAAGCATAAATTCCCTAGACGTGTCTCCCTAGGGAGACGTTCTCAAATTTTAATTGCTTTTGCCATTTTAGCTTCCTAAATTTAGTCCCCACTCAACCTTGGTCATTGGTATTTTGCTGGCCAATGTCCCATCACCCTCTTCCCCAGTCACGGCCTCACACTCTTCATGAATGAATGGTTCAACAGATTAGGAAAGTAAACAGAATTTTCTAATAGTAAAGAAATCTGTGTGTATACTCATCATATAGGCTTTCATATATGAATGGTTAAGTTAGGAAAGCAAACAGAATCCTCTTACAGCAAAGTGTATGTATGCGTTCAACTCATCGGCTTTCTCAGAAAAAGGGGGAAAGAAAAATGTCCTTGAGGCGGGGGCTGGAGAAACAGCTTTCCTCCTGCTACAGCGGTACACCTAATGCAAGTGCTTATGGGCCTCAATTGTTTTCAGCGACCTCAGAGAGCAATGTCTTGCCGCTTTTGGAGTATCTGGCTGTACACTAATCCAAAATCCAGGGACACTTATTTTCTCTCATTGCTGCCAATGTTTGTTCACAGGTAGCCAGCTTCCCTCCCCCAGTTCAAGCACCTGGTTGGAGGGTGGGAGTGGTTTCTAATCACAGCTCTCTGGGAGGAGGCAAAAGAAAAGCAAAAAGACTGTTTAACATGATAAAGGAGGTGGAGTGGGGGTGGAGCAAGTAAATGTTGGAAATTTACTTAATTACTGGAGGTATATCCATTTTAGTCCTTAAACCTACAAACAGCCCCCTTTAGCAACTATCACTAAGTAGTTCCAGAAGGAGTGAGTTTACTTTTACCAAATTATAGCACAAGTTGTTTTGTAAAAAAAAAAAAAAGAAAAGATGGGATCACTGAAGCCTATTAAGAACCACCCACTCCTCTGGCACAGAGCTGCCATCTTATCAGTCTAGAATTCAAGCTCAACCGATTTCCATCCCGTAGGTCTTCACTACTCCAAATATTTCTGCTGGGCGCTGTGAGGGCTACCTCTAACTTATTCAAAAAGCTGGTCCTGCTAAGAATAAGAATGGTTACAAGTACTACAGAAAAAAACCCCGAAGCTCACTAAACAAAGCTAGAATGAAAACAGTCACTGACACTCCCTAACCCTGCCACTTTGGGGAGGCCCTAACCACATTCTGCCCTCGTTGGCATGACCTGGAGTTTCATAAACAGGGACAAGCAGCTCACCTTAAAACACCTTGGACACTGCCAGCAGGAGGAGAAACAAGCTGAAAAAGCACACCCATCAATTTCTCAGTCATAGTAACCCACACTTTCACTGTTCACATTTGTCAAAAAGACACAAATATAGGAAATATATTTTTCCAATTCAGACCACACAGTTCAAAGAAACCTCAATCAAGTGGAACTTCATGATAATGCCAATGTTAGGATTGTAAAGCCCCCAAAGCAAAGGTAAATTTTGTTGCCAAAATGCAACAAAGTTAAAAATTAAGAAAAAAATACATATTAAATTAAAAACAGAGTTCTCTTAAAGAAGGCAGCAAGAAACGCAAGACAGAATACACGTGAGCTGAGCCCCTCTGAGAAGTCCCGGGACAGCTACTCCCTTGAAAGGGCCCTTTCCCCCTCGCTCCCGCTTGGCCCAGGAGGGGGCGCCAGCACCAGGAAGGTAAACGGAAGTGACCTTGGCAAAGCTTCCAAACAAAACACCCCTCCCCCTCACTCCGGGCCGCGGCCTCCTACACGTGCGACAGGGACACCTGCTTGTGGTAGGCGGCTGCGGCGGGGCCCGGCGGCCCGGTCCTGCCCGTGAGCGCGGCGCTGGCCTCGGCATAGTCCCGGGCGGCTGTGGCGCCCCCGCTCTTGTGGCCCCGTCGCCGGCGGCAGCAGCAGCGGCTGGTGAATCGCCGCCACGACTCCACCGTCTTGCTGGACCAAATCCAGACGCCGGAGGTGATGCCCACCACGAGGCACATGAAGTACTTGAGCATGAGCACCCAGTACTCCGGCTTGGCGCGCGGCTGGCCGGTGTCGGGGCCCGGGCAGGCGCAGGTGAGCGCGGCTTCCCAGCTCTCTCGGTAGTGCTGCTCGTACAGGTAACAGGCCACCACGATGCTGGCGGGCACGGTGTAGAGCAGCGTGAAGATGCCAATTCGGATCATGAGCTTCTCCAGCTTGTCCGTCTTCGTGCCGCCCTGCTTGATGACGCTGCGGATGCGGAAGAGCGACACGAAGCCTGCCAGGAGGAAGAGCGTGCCCACCAGCAGGTAGAGCACCAGAGGGCCCAGCACGAAGCCGCGCAGCGAATTCAGGTTCTGGTTGCCCACATAGCAGATGCCGGCCACCGGATCCCCATCCACGGAGCTCAGTGCCAGTGCGGTGATGGACTTGACGCTGGGGATGAGCCACGCGGCCAGGTGGAAGTACTGCGCATAGCCTGCGATGGCCTCGTTGCCCCACTTCATGCCAGCTGCCAAGAACCAGGTGAGCGACAGGATGACCCACCAGATGGAGCTGGCCATGCCGAAGAAGTAGACCAGCAGGAAGACTACCGTGCAGAGCGCAGGGCCCGTGGTCTCGTAGTGAATGTGGCTGTGCTCGCGGCTGCAGGCGACGCTGGCATGGCCCACGACCAGGCGCACCAGGAAGCCCAAAGACACGCACAAGTAGCAAGCGGACAGGAAGATGATGGGGCGCTCAGGGTAGCGGAAGCGTTCCATGTCTATCAGGAAGGTAGCCACGGTGGTGGAGGTGGAGATGAAGCACAGCACGGACCACAGGCCGATCCAGAAGGTGGCGAACGTGCGCTCGTCGGGGCTGAAGGAGGGCTGGTAGCAGGGCACCGCGCAGTTGGGTACCTGGCCCGTCCGCACCTTGTTGTAGAGCGGGTGCGACTCCTTCAGAATGGGCACGAAGGGTTCCCGGCACTTGCACACCGACGGGCCCCCGGCGGCGCACTCACCTCCCGAGGAGGGTGCCCCCGGCGGGCCTGGGAGGGTGGGCTTGGCCGGGAAGAGCCTAGGAGGCACCGTGGTGGCCTCGCTGCGATTGTAATCCATGCACAGGACCTCGGCGTCGCGCCCCAGCACGGGGAGGCGGTCGCAGCTCATGCGCTCGGGCCACGCGAAGCCATACTGGCGCATGAGCGGCGAGCAGCCGGCCTTGGCGCGCTCGCACACGGAGCGGCAGGGCGGCAGGGGCTTGTGATAGTCCGGCAGGCAGATGGGCGTGTACATGGAGCACAGGAAGAAGAGCAGGTCCGGAGAGCAGTGGATCTCCACCAGCGGCCAGAATTGGTGCACCTCCAGGCCCGCCTCCTCCTGGGTGTCGTGGTTGAACTGGTTGGGCATGTGCGTCAGGTTGTAGCCGATGCCGCGGCACATGGGCACCGTGATTTTCTGGCACACCGGGGCCTTCGAGGCGGCCACCGCTCGGCCTGCCAGCTGCGCCAGCAGCAGCAGCAGCAGCGAGGGCGGCGCAGAAGGGTCAGGCCGAGCCATAGCCCCCCCCTCCCCCTCGCCTCGCTCAGCCCGCGCGGGGCCGACGCAGGCCGGGGAAGCCGGGACCGGGCTTCCCTCTCCGCCGACGTGTGTGTGGCGCCGGGGCTGGCAACCTGTTGGCTCTTTCTCTCTTCAAGAAATCCGCCCCAAGACAAACTGTTTCGGGAAGGCGCTGCCTCCCTCCGTGCTTAGCTCCTTCTCCGGATAGGGTTTGGGAGGGGCGGTTAGGGCTCCGATTCCAGGGAAAGTACTCTTGAAAAAAGAAGAAAAATCGCAACCACTCCCAGTTAGAGGGGAGTCAACGGCTCAGTCCCCGCAAGCGGTCTCCAAATCTCTAGATTAAGCTCTCCCTTCCACCTCCTGAAACCGAACTGCTGACGCCCCACCCCGCCTCCCTTTCCACGGGGCCCTGCAGGCTGGAGCCCGGGGTCAGAGCGACCAGCCCCTCCAGAAAAGGGCAGAGGGCCGGGGAGAATGGGCAGAAGGGGCAGGCGCGGGCTCTCACCTTCTTTCCGCGGATCCGGAAAGAAGCAGATATTCCACAGCCAGGCTGGGTCCTCCGTCCTTGGGACACTCGGCTCAGAAACGCGATTCAGAGCCAAGCTGGCACCTGGAAAGTTTGGCGACAGGCTGGGTATACGAGGCGGCGGCACATGGCAGCAGGTGGGGGCGTCTCAAAGAGGGGGTCGCCCCCGGAACGCGATCGCCGCAGGCCCGTCACTCGCCCTCTCCTCCTCCGGGGCCCCCCGCATGATCCGGGCGGGGCAGGGCAGGGGCAGGCCGTGCGTTCCGCCGGGGTCCCGGAGCCGCACGAAGGGCGAACGCGCCTGCAGCACCTAGGCGAGAGGGAGGCGGTGCGGCGGCCGGGAGGACCCGCCGCCTCACGGCACCGCGAACAGTCGGCGCTGGCCCCGCCGGGACTGCATGGTGCGCGCCCGCCGCCGCGTCCCGCCCGCCGCTCGCCTCCTCCCCTGCAGGGGGCTCCTTGCTCCAGCCGACTCCGGGGGGCGGCGGCGGCGCTCCTGGGACGCGCCCGCCTCGGCTCCTCCTCCGCGCACTCGCACCCTCTCGCCCACCTCCGGCCGGCACGGAACGGCGCGCGGCGGCGGCGGCGGCGACTGCGGCGGAGGAGTCACGGCCGCGGGCTGACTTAGCCTCTCCCACTCCGCCCGGTCACCTGCTTCTAATGCCCGCCGGGAGGCCCCGCCCCGGCCCCGCCCCCTCGAGCTGGGGCTCGGTTGGTGGGCTGCCCCGCCACGCTCTCCGCGCGTCCCCGCCCACTGTTCCCCGAGCGTGGCCTCTCCTCCGGCGCCCTGCGGCCCCGCCCCGAGCGGGCAGCCGAGCAGCGCGGGCCAATCGCGGCGCGGGGAGCGACAGGGGCGGAGCGAATGCTAATCACGCCTTCTTGAGACGCGGGGCGGGAAACGCTAAGCTCGAAGTTCCTGGGAGTTGTCTGCAGCCGCCCACGGTGCGGGGCTCCCTTCCCTGCAACGTCCTGGCTGCAGAACCTTTGCTCCCAGGGCCCCTACCAGTGCCCCTCTCCGCAGCTAAGCATTCCTACCGAGTCCAGCGCTTGTTTAAAAGAACCGCTCAAAGAGTCCCTCTTAACCGTGCACCTGTCTCCCCTCCGTGCTGTCCTCATACCAGGTGAGCTCATGTCCAGAGAAGAGCGAATGCTTGCTGAGCCCCTACTGTGTGCCAGACCGCGCGTTAATCGTTTCCATCTGAATACAAGATCTCAGATCCTTGCAACAATTCTATGCGGCGGGTACTCCTTACAGGTGAGGAAACTAATCAAGGTATCCGAGCGAATGCTCGTTCCCCAAGAAAACCTCAGCCCCATTTTGTTCCCAGAGCTATTCCGAGCGCCTGGCACGTGATAGGCGCTCAAATGGCAAACCTGTATTCGAACCTAGGTAATTGGGCTGCGGCATCCACACTTTTAACCACTCCCCCCGTGGACAATAGGCATATCCAAGGTTTCAACCTTACTGGCATTTCCTAACAAAATCATCTGGTTGTGACAAGAAAGTGATTTTTCCCCCCTGTTTTTGCAAGACGCGAGATGTTAATCCTTTATTAGAGGTTTAAAATCCCAGGCAGTTCCCCGCAGAGAGAAGCAACGCAGGCTCCGGGCTCTGTAATGGGCAGGGCGCTGGGCCCCCTGGGGGCTGCAGACTGCTTAGCTGCCCGCAGCAGCCGCCGAGGGCCGGGGGCGCACGGGGCAGCCGCCGCCCGAGGGAAGACCTGCTGGGCGCTCCCACTGCGGAGACACACAGCGGCGCTCTCCAGATGGGTCTTTATGCTGCCAGTTTTAAATGTCCTAAAAAATGCCTCTTTTTCTACGTGTTCTAATTAGGTGGAAGACTGAGGTGTTTAGCGTACTTGAAATTCATTCAGACGCTTACAAAGAGGGCCTGAATTGTTTCCCACTCCCCCACTTCTTCCTCTGGGAAGGTGGTGAAAAAAGGCTGGAGGGCCAGGGAACTTGAAGGACTCAGGACTGGACTGAAGGGGTGAGATAGGCCGCGGTTATTGTTCTTGTGTCCTGGATTCCATTTTGTACAGATTGAGAGATTAAATGGCAGAATAACCCTCTCCCTCCCACTTATCAACAAGGCTTTGTGGGAAACCATGAGGAATATGTGTCTTCATCCCAGCCTTAGAGTTAAAAGGAATAAATATCAATAGCTTTACAAACATCAAAACCATTAGTAAATATGTTTTCCGTGGACATTACATCTTTCTACAGGTGTTCCTATCTTATCTCTTTTGTTTTTTGGAAATACTTGGCACTCTGGGTGGACAAACTTGCCAGGGTTGAAAGTAGTGGGCCTTGAAAAGCCATGGAATAGCAGTCAAAAAGAAAGGGAAACCCCTCAGTGGAAAGTATGTGCAGACAGTGGACATGCCAGGGGAGGGCTGTCTCTTTCTATGCCCTTTATGCAACGTGTGTCTTATTGGGATGGACAAGTGTTGGCTAATAATAAAAATTATTTGAAGTTGGAGAATGTTAATCACTCCCACTGGAATTTAGCCAGAATACTTGTGTTATTTCACATAGTTCCGACTCAAATGATGTTATGTACTGGTTTGTAAAACTGTCTCTGATTAATCAATAATAGTGAAATGTTATTTTTGCTTGGAGGTCTCTAATTATAGTAGTCATAACAGCAGAAAACTTTGCCAAAAGAGACTTATTTTGCATTGCATAGCTTTTTGTACATTTGAATTTTTGCTATTTTAAATATACTGGTATATTGCTTCAATTTAAAGGCAGTTTAAAATATGCTGACTATTTAACATGTATTTGGCAGGGTAGTAAATAATTCGTTTATGTTAACGAATTTAATCCTTACAACAATCAGATATAACTGGCCCCATAATGACTTGCCTGAAGTTACTTATTCAGTCATTGGAAAGCATAGAAATAAAAAATTTCTCCTGAGTCATAATTTATTATTCAACAAGCTAGATGACACTAAATTATTTTTAAATATATTTTTATTGAGAAGGAGAGAGAGAGAGAGAGAGAGAGAGTGAGAGGGGAACAGCAATGTGAGAGAGATTCATTGATTGGCTGCCTTCTGCACGCCCCACACTGGGGATGCCCTGATCGGGAATTGAACCTTGACCTCCTGGTTCATAGGTCAAAACTCAAACACTGAGCTACGCCAGCAGGGCAACACTAAATTATTTTTAAGATGCATTTTTAAGCACCCAGAACATTGCCAAATATTCTAGTCTATTTTAGTATATGTGCTGCCGAAGCGAGCACAAATATTCTAGTCTATTAATTTACTCAGATAGCCTTTCATCTATCCATTTATCCATCATCCAAAAAACACCAATTGCTGAGTTGAAGACGCAACTGCTATCTTAAACATGTTTCTACAAAGCCTAGTTCATGAAATTCAACTTAAATTCTTGTCCAAAGTGAGTTTAATAACTGATGAAAATACAGACAATGATGCTAACTAGCCATCCCATCTACAAAGTGTGTGACATTCCAAAAGTTTTGAAGTGTTGGTTTTGGATTCTGTCATCAGGAAATAGTTGCAGCATTTTTAATCTTACTAGATTTGTATTGATTATACATGTGTTACTCTGTTGAGACAGTTGAGAGTTCAATGCTATAGGAATGAATAAGCAGTAGTCTGTGTATACTCGTCAATATCTCAGTAATCAAGCCTGGAACGGTCTTGATGAGAGGCCTTCAATAACGTTGTGAAACAAATGGATGAATGAATGACAACTGAGATTAACTTTAAAAATTATATTTTTTTTATTGATTTCAGAGAGGAAGCGAGAGGGAGAGAAAGATAGAAACATCAATGATGAGGGAGAATCATTGATAGGCTGCCTCCTACATGCCCCTTCCTGGAGATCCAGCCTGCAATCCAATCATGTGCCCTGACCAGGAATTGAACTGTGACCTCCTGCTTCATAGGTCGATGCTCAACCACTGATACATGCTGGCCGGGCTGAGATGAACGTTTTAAACTTTAGCAACTGGCATTGAATCCTTGAACACAGCTTACCTTATGAGAGCTGTATCTGAGGTTGACCATACCCTGTTCACTGCAGCATGAGTCCAAACCTTGGCTCTGCCTTTCATAGCTGTGCCACCTTGCGCAAGTCACCTAACAGCCCCAGGACTTCTCTCCTCATCTGTAAAATGGAAATACACGTAGTTATCTATCTCCTAGTGTCGTATTGAGAGGTAAATGAATTTATAAGGCAAAGGGCTTAGAGCCTTGTCTAGCACCTGGTAAGTCTATATAGGTCTTAGTTATTATTATTGTTGTTGTTGCTGTTGTTTTCTACTATGTTTTATTCTACTTTTCTGTTTTCCCAATCTTGTATATTTCCTTTTGTATATTATTTTAATAATGAAAACATCGTTACATTTTTTAGATGTACTTTGTGTCTGAGCACACTCCCAGCTGTCACTAGTGTTTAGATACCAGCTAAATTTGATGCCAAAGCAGGGATCATTTCACTTGCCCTGGATCAAAGTGCATGCACCTGACATCAGCAGCCAGCCCAAGAGCGTGCACAGCCCTGGCACAGGACACACACCTGTGAGCCAGCACCGGTCCCGCACAGGTATTTTCAGGCTCACTCCATACATATCCTGGAGCATTTCTGATGAGTCCTCATCAAATCAGACACCTCTAGACAAGAAACCAAGACACTAACCAGAGGATTAACATGATGAATCATTTGTCCAGGTTCATAGTGGGACTGTCTTGTTCACATTAGAAGTGGAATAATTCAACTATAATCTTTAGTCTTCTCCCCTTCCCCACGGTGGTGGTGATTGTAGAAAGTCAATGCTTTTTTCTCTCCCCCCCTCCCCCAAGGGGGGCATAATGGAAGTACTAACTAATCTTTCCCATATTGGGCAGTGGCTCTCAGCGTCACATTACAGTCGCCCTGGGAACTTTAAGAAACCCTGGTGCTTGGGACCTATTAAATCAGAATCTGTGGTTTAGGGCCCCAGACATTGTTTTTTGGTTTCGTTTGTTTGTTTTGGTGCGGTTTTGCTTTAACTCTCCAGGTGATTCTGACTATTAGCTGGTGTAGAGACCCACTGACATAGATGGTTTTCTTCTTTCCTCAGTACAGCCCCACACTTGGGCCTCGCTGCACCTTCTGCAAAAGGGGGTAATTACCTCAGCATGTAATATGGAATACCTCAGGAGAGGCATTAGAAAAGTGCATTCTAATCTAATTGCATGGGAATCTGGGCTGGAAATTTATGTAGAAAAAATTATGTAGCAACAAAATTGTGGTCCAGTGGTGGTAACATTAACAACAATGACGACCATAATAACAGCAACTGATGGGGGGGGAGCATTTCCAATGGGCACATACTGTGCTAAGCACGTTAGACATATAATCTCTTCCTTCCAAGAGTTCTGTAAGGTTGATGTTATTATCATCACTTTATTTTATGTTTTTATTTTTTTGTTAATCTTCACTTGAGTATATTTTTTTATTGATTTTTAGAGAGAGCGGAAAGGGGAGGGAGAGACAGAGAGAGAGAGACATCAATGTGTGAGAGACACATTGATTGGCTGCCTCCCACACGAGCCCCGACCAGACACCTCTAGACAAGAAATCCAGTCTGCAACAGAGGTACATGCCCTTGACCAGAAT